AATTCAAACCAAACCAAATAATCTACCATAAACTGTACACACAGCTTCCCTAATTTGTTAATATGGCAGCTTTGAGCAAGCACTCAGGAACATCTAGGGATACCAGGCAGAAATACCTACAACCATTAAATATTTCATATTTTACAGACTGAAAAACATTAACATGCAAATAGCATCAAAACATTTAAACAATCATTTCAGACCTCTTAATTCATAGAGTATTGCTGTAGCTTCTGGGACCATCCACTATTTTGATCTCCAGACAGCAGTGAACTTTTTACTATAGTGGGCATATTACCTTCATTCACATATTTAAATGCTGTAATACATATTAAACATCTCAGGAGTATTTGCAATAGTTCTTACTACAAAATATTGGTGAAATCAAGATTGTGTTTGTTTCTTTCTTTAAAAGCAGAGACACGGCTTTCCTGACTTTTGGGAAAAAATAGAAACAAGCTATAATAATGTTTTTATACATATAGCTATCTACTTAGTAAGTAGTAATTTGATGGCATGTAATTAGTTTTTAAATCAAACAGATTCTACATGCTTCTGAAGCATACTTAATGCAAAAAGATCTTAAGCAAAAGGTGCCTAAATTAAACAACTTCACTACAACATGCGAGCAAACCCTGCATTATCTACACAACAGTATTCAACATAGGAAAAAGCCTAATTTAGTAGAACTCACAATAACAAGCACAATTATTAAGACTTGAATACTTCTTGGAAGACATATTTCAGGGCTGCTTAGAAGTGGTCTTTGCAGTCCACAGGAGGACTACTTAATAGTCTAAAGTTACTAGTTTATACAAGGGACTTTATTTCCTTGGACTCTGTTGGGTTATGACAAGGAGAACAATTATGCCAACAGCTTTGGAGCTGGTAATCTCTCAGCAGGCAGCACACCTCTCTTGTCTCAAAGGGTTCCAAAATGCAAGAGCATGAGTAACTTACAGTTTTCAAACAACACAACTTGGTGCTCTTCCTAAATATATCTCACTGTGTTTTACAGAGAATGATAAACATTCTATCCATACTACACAGGTGGGAAAAGAAGTCACTAAAGCTAAATGAGTTGTTCAAGTTCACCTAAAGAGACTAAGATACTAACAAGGAATCCAATTCTAATGTTCTATGCACCAGAATACACAACCCTCTGCACCTGAAAATGACCAAGGCATAAATGAAAACAGAGGCCTCAATCGTGCAGTCAGCAGCAAGTCTGCAGTCAGCAGACTCAAAGCAAGACTAGGCCTTAAAGCATTAAATCCTCTACATGCTGAAGTGTCCTTGAGGCACACTCTTTCGATAACTTACAAAACAAATGCACAGAAGTATGCGGTCATATTTAAACAGTATCTTGATCTAGTACAGTCAATGTTACCTTGTAGTGATACAAACAGAAAGCTCATAATTCTCTTAAGCACTCCTCCTTACTGCTTCTTATTGGACTAACTTATATCCTTGTAAGCTCAACTAATACATTACAAATTGAAGCCAGCCAGAAGGACTGATACACTGTATTAGTCTTGGTTAGAATGCTGAATCTTAGAAATTTCTTTTGAGCCACAATTCTGTTAAGTTTTACTGTAGTAACTAAAGCTTCAATGTAATGACTTACAGATTAACCTCCCTTAACATGACATGGCACAGTAAATAAAGTACTGGGAGTTATCTCAAGCAATTGTAAATTTAACACTACATATACACAAATTGCAAAAACTGCACTTAAACTTAGCACTTGAACACTCAACAGAAGTCATCCTGATTTTAAAAATAAACATGCAATAGTAGCACAAAACTTACTGAAGAATAAGTACACTTTTTTTTAATATGGTTCTTTTAACAGGTTTCTGTGTTTGCTACTTTAAGTTTAATCACCTGTTATACATTCAATTCAGCTTGAAGTAGATCTATATCACTATTTCACAGAACACTTTGTGTTCCACTTGTGATCTGACCTCCTCATGCTCCCTACTGTCTACGTACATATTAATATGTCTCTAAAACCACAGTATCTGAACCTAATCTCCATGGTAACTGTAAGATTTGTTTACATGGAAAAAGTATATTAGAAATGTATGTAAATTTAACTCTCATTTAAATAAGTGTTTTTTCCTTCTACGGGGAAAAAAGCTCCCTATACTGCCTCCTGTTTATCTTGCTGCCATCTCCTGCATCCCCACCAAGCATTAAGCCACATTTGGAAAGCTCCCTATCATACAACCTCAATGGCCTGTTGTTGTAAATTCACAGTTTACTTTCCATAAGGCAGACATGCAGTATTTTAGATCTTAGCATTGTTAAAGAAAGATCATAGGGAGGGCAATTAAAACATAATTTTTTAAAAATACTACCACAAAGTCACAAAAGTAAAAAAAAAAAAAGCTAAACTTTTAACAGCTATACAGAAAGACTCTGCTGCTCACCAACTCAGATCAATCTAGAAATTAAAAGAGTTTCTATCCTTTACCATTTCCAGCAGTGAATATAGTAATAGGTACACATTTTATGTAATACTCATTCATAGACAGTAGGCACAACTTTGATAGTGCAAGACCCCAAATAGAGACTTCTCTTTTTTATTAATAAATACCAAAGAATTGATGTACCACAGGTTTGTAGCAATTGTCCTTTATAAGATTTACAGTATTTTGAAATGAGATTTACTGCTGCCCAGCAGGACCGGGAGCTGAATTACACAGGGGTCATGGTAACATAAATGGCAGTTTGAGTGAGACATATCAGCAAAATGATAGAGAACCTCTAACAAACCCAGCTGCTAAAAACTACTCAGGTCTTTGCCACACACAGAACTTATTCTATTCCACCAATACGATTTATTTTCCTATAAAACTTGTATAATATATTAAATATAAATAGTCTAGAAAGGTCTCAGAGAAGAAAAATGCATGACAGTGAGCTATGTGAATACTATGCAGCACTAAGAGGAAAATTAGAACCTGTTTGAAAATCTTTCCGCACCTTACAACAATCATTTCACTGCAGAGAATCTCTTACAAGCACCCTCCCTGATAACATCCATAAGATTATCCATTCAACAAAACTCCTATTAACGAACAGAAAGTAAGTAAATCTACCCTCTATTCAAGTAAACACGGCTTAAGAGCCAGCATTTCCCCCGCAATGTTACTTTCTCGAGCAGGGTGACTGTCCCCCGCTTCTCCATGAAGCAAGCTCAGCCCAGGCAGCCATGTCCTTATTCTCCTACAATGTTTCTGAAGGAGAACAACCTGCTCAGGGAACTTACAGTTTCCCCCAGCATAACGCGGTGGAGCAAAGCCTACCCCACCATCAGCGAACGAGCCAAGGCACCGAAACACGGCAGTGGGGGCGAAGCAGCCCGCAGTCTGGATCCGCACCAGCACTGAGCCCCGCACCGGGGTCGGGACAGATGGACTGATAAGATAGGACAGCACTGCCCCATGCAACCCTCCTTTCTCTCTCCTCCCAGACACACAAACGAGCGTTTTACCTTCATGATGAGCTCAGGCTGCGGTAAAAGCCTCGATCGTGGCTGAGCGGCCGAGGCTGGACCTGGAATTTAAAACAAAGCGCTAAGGCACCGCACCAGCCGCTCGCACCGGGCGGGGGGAGGGGAGCCAGGGATCGGGGTGGGGGTGCTGAGCTCCTCCCGAAACTCTCCCTTTCCCTCCCCGGATGCCCCCCTTTCCCCGCGGCTAACCCGCTCCCCTCTTTCCTCGGCCGCTGTCTTCTCCCGCGGTTCCCGCACGCCCCGGCTTCCCCTACACTCGCTGCCATTGACGCCATTTCTGTCAGAGGAGGAGAAACTTGCCACAACAACAACCCACCCCCGGTTGCCGCGGAGGGGGGGAGGCGCCCCGGCCGCCTCCCCGGGGCGCTGCGCCCCCTCCCCGGGCACCGAGCAGCGAGAGAGAGCCCGCGGGGGTCCCAGCTCCGAGAACAACCCCCTTCTCGCTTCACCGCGGG